ACATCTACTGCACGAACAGACATGACTTGCACAGCCCCCTGGACGAACAGGTATGACTCCCACAATTGAATGCTGCAACTGTTCGTCCTGGGGCATGACTGTGACCCTTGACATGACTTCTCACTTAGTTAGGATGTGACTTTTGACCCAGAGAACATGTCTTTTGATCTGCTTTTCACGAGTTGGGTTCTGGCCAAGTGGACCCCATTATGCTGTATTCGTCATTCAGGGTCCGAACGGGTAAGGCCCTTTTACTCTCGCCGGCCTAGTTTCGAAGTCCTCTAAGAAAACCTTCATCTATCTATGATGCTTATTCCTCTTCTGACTCTTTCATAAGCAGATACAATATGAGGTGCAGACTCAATCAATTCCTCTCTTGTGAACCAGCGAACTTCACTTGGGTCCTGATATACGCTGGGGTCTGCCTCGTACGTCCAGTTTGAAGAGTACTTTCAGCAATAATCTTGTCCACATCATATTTCCCATCCATACTAGGAGGAATCGCCGATCTGCGATTGGGAAACAACTCATTCGTCATGCAAGGTAAGAGCTTTGAGGCGTGAAACACTGGATACGTATGCAAATGCAGAGGAATCTCAATCACGTAAGAAGGTCCATCCACATCTCCAATCACATCTAGAACCTGCCAAGGTCCTCTGTAGGCTGGTAGCAATTTTTGGGAAATGTTCTCCTCAGGAACGAACTCATTAGACTTAACCCATACCAGATCACCTACAACAAATTGAGGTCTTCTATGTTTATTTGCTTGTTCTATCATATGATGTTGTGCCTTTAATATATTCTCCTTAACTTTTTCGATGTCTTTTTGATATTGGATCGCAAATTCACTTGTTCCTAGTGAAAGCTTATGCACTTGATCCGGTCTCAGGCGATCGATAGGTCTGCGTGGACGCCATCCCAAATGCAACTCCATCGGAGTCTTGCACGTAGACAGATGAACATAGTTATTATAGGCACTAGCAACTTTGGGCAAATGCTCATCCCAGTTAATCTGGTCGGGACGTATGTACATACCCAGCGTCTGCTGCAAAATCTTGTTCATTTGCTCAGTTTGGCCGTTTGTTTCAGGATGTCGACCGGACGACATAGTCAACTTAGAACCATAGACATTCATTAGTTGCTGCTATTGTTCACTCGTGAAACGCGAATCTCTGTCACTGACAATTGTTAGGGGATGTCCATAATCCTTCACCCAGTGGTTAAAGAATTCCCGGATTACCAATTTTGTTCTTGCTTCCGCTGGCAATGCTACAAAGACAACATACTTACTAAACCTGTCAACAATGACCATAACATGCGTTTTTCCATTCCTGCTTTTTACCTTGGTGTCCATAAATTCAATGGACACAGAGTCTCCTAGACCTGTTGGGATTGGCAAAGGCTTCAACAGACCAAGGGGAGGATGAGTAGCGTTCTTATTTCTTTGGCACACTTGACAACCCTGCACATAAGCGATGCAGTCGGGTTTCATACGAGGGCAAGTGTAGGAACGTGACAAGTTCGCATAAGTCTTCTTCCATCCAAAATGACCTTCAGTGTCATGACACTCTCCCAAGATCAGACTTTTGATCTCTTCCACGTTTGGAATACAACGCTTATCATGCACATCTGTCTGCTCAAACAACAGTCCTTGTGTAACGATAATTAGGAAACTCTTGTGGCGCTTCCTGCACACGCTTAAACATAGCGCCATAGACAGGGTCAGTGGAATACACATTTCTAATCTTCTCCTGCACATTGGCGCCCACATCTAAATATGTTACAATGGCACCAAGGAAATTGGATCTTTGACTTAGTGCATCGACAACAACGTTATACTTACCCTTAACATGCTTTAGCTCAAAATCATATTGATCAATCTCAGCAGCCCACCTAGTTAATTTAGGTGTCATTCGGGCCTGTGTTTTAAGCCAGCGAAGTGCTCATGATCTGAGTGCACTTTGAAGTGGCGTCCTAAGAGATAGTGTCGCCAGTGATCTAGAGCTTCACGGAGAGCAAACAAATCCCTCTCATACGTAAAAGCGGCGACCTTCTCACTAGGCAGTCATCGGGACATAAACTCAACAGACCTGTATCCATTCCCATCGTCCTGTTGGAGTACAACACCTATCCCGTACTGACTGGCGACGACAAAGGGCAAAGATGGATTAACAACCTTCAAAACCGGATAATTAATTAGACATCTCTTTAGACGTTTGAACGAAGCCGTACAATATGAGTCTCACTTCCAGATGTTTCTTT